ATCGGTTTCTATCAAGAATTACTCAGATTTATGCATCTTTTCTCGTATATTAAGTTACAAAACGAACTATGAACAGAGAGGAATTAAACTTTATTTAGCTTTAAAATTGTTTTTATACTAAATCAATTTATAACTACAACATTTAGGATATAACTGTGTCTTGGCGCAGTGGAGAAGTTATAATTATACAGGATATTAAATGTATATTACATAGAATTCAATTTATAATCATAAAATAAAAATACCATTAAATTAAAAATGAAATTTAAATTTAATCTAATTCATTTAATTAGTCTAGTACGCAATAGAACCATACGTTAATTATACAAAGTTAATTTTTTCTGAACATTAATGTTAGACTAAGTGTGGGTTTAAGATTCTTTTTAAAGGACAAGGTTTGATAAGGACCGATTTTGTCCCCAACATTAAAGACAAATTAAAATGTTTTCGAGAGTATTTGTTATGGGTATGATATATCCACTACATATCAACTACAACATATGTACACAGGACATAATGAAACAGTATACAAATAGCAGTTATCTGGTTCCTACAAAGGCCCTTGTTCAATCAAAAACAAATTTATTGCAAGTGGCTCATTGTGGTCCTCAAATTACTAACAGCACATTCGAGACCACGATTGATTTTTCGTCGGATGACACTTCTGTAACCATTTAACAAATATGCAAATATTTATATATGTTCTGGTGTGCGCTCATCACTAGCACGCAGAAACATGAAGACAAAATGAATAACATAGTCCACCTGCCATGTTTGTCGCCGTATAACTTTAGTGCCTACTTCAAACTAACACAATATGAGATTTTATGTTTCTTTGCATCAAACTGACGATCAAATATCGATTACTGTTTACATTTATTTCTATTTCTGGTTGCATTTTGAGGCATTCTTTAGAGCAAATCATAATAGGATTATCTCTATGAAAGCCACTGAATATAGAAGAGGTGCATTGGGAATGATGTTCACAACAATTTGAAGGATAAATTAGTAGACTGATTTCTGATACAAAATCTTGTATAAGTTATATTTTTCATCAAGACGATGCTTAACAGTTTTATTACATATCTGCGCTGGTGCATCCATGCGTGCGTGGGTTGTTAAAAATTTGTTTTTGAATGAATTTCCAATCAATGAATAAGAAAATCTCTTTTAACACTTGTCTGAATGTTTGCTTACTTCGTTCTTTCATGATTAAATTGAACAAATGGTGTGCTTATAATCAATGGTTAGTTGTTTTTTGTTGTGTTTTATTTTTGTTTTCTTTTATTATCCGAGTTTTGTGGATGTTCAAATTTTTCTTTCGATCCTGTATTGGTTTCTTCTTTAAACACTAGAATTAAGTTTTAAGTTAATATAGCGTACATTATAGGATATATTTATTTCTATGTATCAGCGTTAGAACAATTTTTTAAAAGTATTTGAGGGCCAGATTATTTTTATGATTTCCAATTGGTTAAGTGACAGTATGACATTGGTGAAATAATGGTAGGATAAAAAAAAACTTCCTTTCATTGATTCAGTTATCCCATATCATGTAGAAAAAAAAACAAACTGGTGCCTGTCGTCTAGAAAGGTACTGTGTTACCGGTATCCCGGTTAACCGCTGTGTAACTTTTCCGGTGTTCAGCAAATTGTTACTTTTACACTGTACCGATATTTCGGTAGTTTCCGTCGTTAAGAAATATTCGGAAATGACCGAAAAATCTTTTGAGGTACTTAATGATATTAACATCATATTTGACAAAATAATTCAATACATCAAAGCATTATTCATTGTTGACAGATCATTTGTATTGATCACAAATTAATTTTGACCATTACAAATATAATTATATTTATGATTCATTCATCATATGTTTGACATTTGTCATGTATGCCAATGTGTTGTTGTAATACAAAGTGTGGTGTATTAAAAAAAATGGTTTTTAAAGATAGTTCTGATCGATTTTATATTAATCTATCTACAATGAACAGACCACCTTGCAATAATAAATTAGCACCTCAAGGATATAATATAAAGGTCACATTCATTTAGAGCTACGTGAATCTAATGTTGATACCAGATTGGTAGGTCATTTAGAAATTTGCATTAATGTGCGCGTGCTCCAGTGAGAAGTACTGTTGCTTTCTTTATTAACCCTCCAAAGTACTTACGTTTAAATTTAAAAATTAGTAAATGCAGTAAATGAACATTTTAACCCTCATTAAACTTTAGAAATTGTTTGTAAGTTAATCACAAATTTTGTTGACCTTTTCTGGTAAGCCTTTCCTTTGAATCCTTCTTATCAACCGTTCAGTGGTAATATATGTATTAATGATGTTTTTATCTTATTCTGGATCCGTGCGATCCAGCTGTTATTAGTGTGTTGAGTGATATTTGTCTCAAATTTTCTAAACTGCTTCAATGTTATGCAATTACTACATAATTCATGAGACCACATTGATCAATTTCAGCATTCCATTTGTTATGAAACTCGTTAAAAGCATCACTGTTTCCGTTTATTAAGAAATCCGTTACCGTTGAATAATACAGAATTCCATGTCTGATAATCCTTACAACAAAGAAGTGATCAGAATGCTTGTCAAGGATAGACTCGTGAGTTGCGCAATAATATATAAATTTATTTTTACCATGGAGACGAAAAGTATGCAGTTATATTCATATTTAAAACGGATGATGAACCGTTAGCAATTAAAACTGTTTTCAATATTTCTTTAATTCAACTCATTTTAGCAACAGAAACTCAGGTTGCTGTAAACAGACTATACTCTGTGATCCCTATTCACACTTTGGATAATTAAATACAATGAATTCTACATGGATAATATAGATCTATTTGCGCTTCGTTATAAAAGGATAGCTTAATAAATACATGAATATCTTTGAAGAATTCATCATAAAATGATAATACCAAACCATCATTATGTCTTATTACAAATTAGATTTTACATCTTGTTTCAGTGAATAAAGGATTTAATACACATACTGAATTGCATTTCTTTTTAACGATGAAATTTCGTTCTTTTCTTTATCCACCTCTTTTGCTCCCTCTTTGTTCATCGCCATGTTTAATACACCCTGGCTAAATTTTAATTTAACCAAGGGACTATTCACTTTGACTACTATATAATTTAGGGTTTTTGTATTTTTTAAATTCAATGTCGTCCTCCATCATAGATATTTCCAATTTTTATATCCTAAAAGGAAAACATTATAAGCCATTGATTTCGGTTCTAATCCTTTACCTTCTAAATAGTACCTTTTGTAATCTCAAGTTACAAATTTATGAAATAAAATAGGTTTAAACTAACGCTGAATCTATCAGAGGCAATTTATAAACTGCAGTTCAAGAGATCGATTTAAATCAAATTGTATTGCAGGTAAATTTAATTTATATTTGTTGTCGTGTCATTTGCACAGCGACCTCGAGAGTCATGTGAAATGTTCAGGTTATGCTATGAAGATAGCTTGAAACAGTATCTGTTTTCTACAGTTTTAATGGGATAAATGAGCTACTGTTTCGAATGTTATTTATAAATCTCTGACATTTATAAAACCTATTGATAACCTTTTCTACGCTACAGACAGTTGACTTATTTCTTTTCCCAATTTCTTATTTGTTGCTTTCCAAAACAATTAAAATGAACTATATTTTACAACATCCAAACTCGAACAATATATTAAACGTCCCTTTCAGATAGTTAGATTGTTGCCTTTCTGTTAATTCACATAATGTTAACAATAATTATTGCATGACTATAGACTTTATCACTTGGAAATTAATTTAAATGTGATTATAATGTCCTATTCAAAGTTAGAGGAACAATGTCGTAAACATTTTTACTTTGATCCAGATAATATCAGTCATCAATGGCAATAAGTCCAGCAAGGTAAAAAGAAAAACACGTGCATCAAATTGAAAAATATATGATTCAACCATCTACATGCGTGTTACACAAACAAGTCATGAAAACATTCCTGTATAAGTGGATTTATGCCACTACTGTAGGCAGCCAATTTAATAGAGATTTGGTTAATTTGCTAAGGATTACTAAAACGAATATACATACTTTTTAAACATTGAAAGCAAACAAGAAGGTGGAGAATCGTTATTGACTTTTGAAAAGTGTCATCGAAAAACATTGTTATCACCTAACTCTATGCGGAATTCACTTTGTGTGGATTTAGGCAGCAGGATCGCTACTGGATAACTGTCAATTGTAAGTATCTAACTGATCAATGCCATCGCCGTTAGAACCACCGTTGAGGAAAGGTGCAAATATGAGTCCCTGAGAAAAACGATTGGTAAACAATATCACAATGGTCATTTTGGCCAGCAAGTGAAAAAACAAACCAGAAATGTTGAAAAAGGATTAGCGCAAAAGAGTTCAAAAATAGGAAACCTCTACCTGGAGAGTGTATATTGGTTACAGTACAAGAGTAAGCAGAATTAGGAGGTCCTAAAGACTCGCTATTGTAATGTATGGCATCCGGTATTGAAACGTGTTGCAAACATATTAAGTAAATAACTCAAGAAGATACCGGTGAAGAAAGAATATAAAAGTTGCAAAATGTTGAAAGTAATAGAAAGCCCAGACAAATAAAATTATAACGCATACTGAGAAAAGTTTTAGATTACCTTGATAACATAAATTTAAAGATAAATATTACCGTTAAAAGATGGTTTGAAAAAGGAAATTTGTGACGATTGCTATGTGGTATAGATTATAGTGCTTATAGGCAAGGCAATGGGTGCGATTTGCCCGAGGACCCGGGTGCAAATCTCCGTAGAGTACGAATTAAAATTTATCTAACCTGTATAATATACTATTTATTACGTATTTTTTAATCTTCTGTTAGCATTATCACCCATTCTAAAGCAGAATCCACGTATATCCTATTATGTTATGTTTTGTGTATGTTTTTAATTCTGTACAATTGTTTCTATTGGCCTTGAGTTTTGTTTTCTGAAACCTATTGCTTCGGTAGCCTAGTCATTAAAGCATCCTCCTCGGATGCGGGAAGTCGCTGGTTCGAATCCCAGCCGAGTCATACCAGAAACTTATAAAAATTGTAACAGCTAGGCGCTCAACATTAAGAGGTAATCGTTAGGTCAGGTCGGCCTGGTTTCAGGATAATGTGACGGGGTGGTGGGGACATCATTCTACATGTCAGCAGCATGATTCCCCAGTGCTAGATATAAACTGCCACACTACAGACATGGTAGCGATATGACTGAAACTTTTTTAAAGCTACGTTAAAAATCTAACACACGCGCGCACGCGCTTCTTATGAATCTTGAATGACTGATATATGAGAATTAATAGGTCGATATGCACACATCATTTGTAGTGATGTGTGCATGGTCTTGATGGTATAGTGGTCAACGCTTATAGAGAAGACCGTTGGTGCCATTCAACCTCAGACCAGTGTTCGAATCTCCGTAAATTATATGATTGTAGCATCTCTTGTATTTTGTTTTGAGGTTCTGTTTTTGTTTTCTATAGCCAGTTGGTTAAAGGGATTAGCAGGAAGTGCTGGAGTCACGAATATAGGTACTATTAGTGGCAAAAAAAACGTTTCATGTCTATTCAGAGTCTGGTAAGACATGCAAAGTATTGCAAACGAGATTTTCAAGCTATCAAAAGAGCTAGTTGTAAAATTACCTGCAATAACCGACAGTGTCGGAACTGATTTTTTTTAGATTGTTTCCTTATTAGCTGATATTACATAATATTGCTTATCTTAGTATTACTTGGCCTGTTGTTTCCTTTGTTGTTTGGTATGAGGTGTGAGCACCAAAACAAGAGATAAAACATTATTAACTTATTAAGACTGCATATGTGGCCTAAATTGGTAGAACGTCCGCCTTTGATGCAGGCGCTCGATGTGTCGAACCTGGGTCGACTCATAACAAATAATGATAAAAATGGTACATGCAGCTGCCTCGCTTGGCGCTCAGCATTAAGATGTTAATGTCAAGACTGATCGGCCTGGTGTGAGGATAATCTGATTTGAGATGTGGTGATGCCACATGTCTGACATCTTTATAAACTGCTACGCTGCAGGCATCGTAGCTATATGACTGGAAAAATGTTAGAGCTACGTTAACCATTGAAATCACACACCCACACACGCACACATACGCACACACATATGCATAGTCTATTTTATATAGCAAATCATCATCATAATTGAAAACACTTTGATTGCTTCATTATCTTTGTTACTTAATTATGTGCAATTGCGACTATAAGACTGAATACTTTGTAATCTTTTCTTAGCTATATCGTTGGTTGACGAAATTTCGTTCCCTTTATTTCATTGTGTTTCATTTTGACAAATTGTTACAGGCTGGCTATCAGCGGCTACAGTAGTTTACCACGTTGATATTTATATCAATGATGATGTATTGTATGATTTTTATTCGTTCTTGTTGCTGGCAACGCTAACAGTTTGTACCACTCAGTAATATATGTATGCCATCAACACCAACATCATACTCTAATCGAACTCCTAAATCTAAATATTTTATTTTTCTGCCCATTAATCTTAACTGAATTTTAGCTTTGTCGACCGAAATTAATTTTCAACAAAACTTTGTAAACACTGTTTTGAACATCTGAAATCGTGCAATATATGGTTATCTTGATCTTCGTGATTTAAAAGGGGGATTGATTAAAACCTGAAATTAATTTATCCTTGTATCCCTTCTTCTGTCTTGCCTTTACTGTCCGGCACAAAAGAAGCGTCTTCTGACTGTTTCCTCGTCCACAGCAATCAGCATGCAAACATTATTTTGTTCTCTTATGAAATGTCAGTGTAATCAATGACTTCTCCGACCTTACCCATCTCCTTTTTTGTTTCTCATCCACAGCTAATTCAGGAATTACTGGAACCCATTACATCATGTCATCGTTTAATAATAAGCTGTTTCTAGTTTCTCATATTATTTATCTCCAATGGTGACTTTCAGGTATCTTAAACTTATTACAGATTATGTAAATTTGCTTTAGATCTATACTGTTGTTATTCGAATAAAACACCTGCAACCAGGCGACGGTGCAGGGCATTAAACGTTTCATCAATACTAATTTGCGATGTGTAACAATAAACCATTAAATATCTACGATTTCCTTTATGTTTATTAATGTATCGTTGACATCAGAGGTACAAGGTCTTGCGTTTCTCGTTTTGTTCTCTGGTTTTATATATTTTCAACTGTCACACGTTTGATTTGCTTGGAAAATCCAAATTTAGATATTATAGTTACCATAGATACTGTTGCCAGATTATTTATGACACTGAGTTAATTTCTTTTTACCGAAATGGCTTATATATTTGAGAGGATTTTTTTCTCGGCAAAATGTAGTTTCAATAGTTAATAGCCTAGAATTATCATTCCCTCTATTGTGCTTAAAAATGTTATTCAAATCCATGAGACCTTAGTTGTGGCAATGTTTCAATCTTTATTGGGCCTAGCTAAACGTTTTATAAAAAGTCAGGTCCAGATTGTATTACGTAAAAGTTTAGCTGTAATTTCAATTTCTGCTGAACTTACCACATATTAAATATAAACAATGGTCCCCACTCAGCATATTTATTTAAAACAAAATGACATTTCCGCTTCCAACTGTTTCAAATTATTTCTCCATTTTAATTAAATTAAACGCAAATTCTATCTTGAAATTCGTCCTGAACAAAAAGACATTCACCTGATAAAAATAAGAGGTTGTAACCTGCGCAAATCCATTCAATGTTTACCCCCAATTTTCTTCCAAATGGGATTGATCTTACGTCGTGCAATAACCTATATTTCTCATTGCCTTGTCGTGATTTTTACCTTTTAGTGGTATTACCCGGAAATGTTTGGAAGTTTAACTTCAGTGTCATGATTTAATTAATATTGATTTTGATTTTTAGACTTTAAATAACATTTCAGCAAAAATATTGCGTTATTTTCATTAAATATCTTGGAATGTAGAGTACAGATAATACACTGCATGCTGGGATACGTCACGGTGTGGGTTACCTGCTGATATCAGTGCTGCAATAGTCATAGGTTAGAGGTGTTTCAATACATATTGATGGAATGTTGTGGACATGTTGTTCTGTTCTTCAAGCTGAAAAAAATGCTAGACCATTATCATTTTGCAATGGTTCATGTTTATGAACAAAGTGACGTAAAGGAATTGCATGAAGGTTGTTATATCGATTCAATACACTTTCTAGAATTCATAAATGAAGCCATGCACATTATTTAGTCTCAGGTGCTCTGCAGAATTGGTTACAATAAGCAGATTACATCATCTTTGGAAACGCTCTGGTTGTCTGTATAAAATAATTAGTTTACTGTTTAAGGTTTGGGTTAATTTTGCTTTAAAATAAAACTGAGAAGATAGTATCAAACGAAATATTGAACAAGTAACTTAAAATGTATGTGCAAAAACATCAGCAAGAAGGGAAAATCACTTTGAAATGAAAGGTATGATTTTCTGACTTGTACAAAATCTGACATCTGATATTTCCATTGGGTAATTTCGTTAATGTGCGGTATTGTGAAGCATTTGATATTTTAGAATTCTAAAGATAAATTGTTGAATGCATTCATTATTCATGACGAGAAACATTCACCAGCGTAACGTGAGGCATAAGTAGAACGGACAACTGCTATTATACGACAAGCAGCATTACTGCTTTACCTGATTTACTGCCGTATTGATCGAAGGAAGGTAGAAAACGGTTGAGAAGGGGCTTACACGAATCTTTTGAGTTGTGCGAGATTTGGGATGCGCATGAACGCAACGGTCTGAAGGTATGGCACTATCGACACTGTCAGACAGGTAAATAACTTCTTTTAGAATATATATATATATATATATATATATATATATATATATATATATATATATATATATATATATATATATATATATATATATATATATATATATATATATAACACTGAATAACCACACCTATTTCTGCGTAAATTTACATATTGACAAACTGGAGAGGTAAATAAAAATATCATCAAATGGATTAAATTTTAGAAAGAGCCTTTTACACTATTATTTGTTTGTTTGATCAGACATTAGAGAAACCGTTATCTTCATAGAGGTCACCTGTCCTGTTTAGAAAGGTAGCAAACTTCAGTTACATGTATCATATTATGTTTCATTTTATTCAATAACTTTTAAGAATGAATATGATAGGTTCAAAATATTATGGAAGAACGTTTTATCTCATTGTTGATTTAACCAAAATTGCCAACCGTTCTTTTGAATTCCGGACACCTGTGCATTGTAATTTGATGGCTAATACTAAAGTACATCAAGAGTAAACTGAGATTTTGCATATAGCATCTGACTCGGATGGGGGAGGTTGCAGATTAGAAACCCGGCCTAATCATACCAAAGTCTTATAAAATATGCTTCTAGCATCTGCCTCGATTGACGCACAGTTTTAAGAGTTTAGTCTTAGGAATGGTCTGCCTGGGGTCAGGATCATGACTTGGTGGGACATGATACCACTTGCCTGCAGCATGGTACCACATTGCTAGACATCACTATAAATTGCCACGCTGCAGACATTGTAGTGATATAACTACAATTGTTTAGGATACGATGAAAATCAACACACACACACACATACACAACACACACACACACACAGAGTCCCCGTAATAATAAACTTTTGATTGATATAAACAGTGAAATTTGTTTAATTTTTTACTATTTACATTGACACCATAAGCTTTCGGTTCCGAAGATATATAACCGACATTTGTGCTATAACTAAAGACTTTATAAGTACTCTCACCTCAGTCTGAAACCAAACAATAATTACATGTTATCAAATAAAAAGTCACTTATTTCCGAATTTTCATTAGTTTTGCAAAATAATTACCTCAGGCAGATTATGGGGATAAATAAACTCTTATTATATATAAAACAATCTACATCTGTATTTTATTTATCATTTTCTAACATATAGCATGTCGTCACAAAAACAAAAGCCATCTGTAGATTTAATCGGGAAACATTAATTTCC